TGAGTTATCTTAGAAAGCATGATCATATGTAAGTGGAGTCACGTGAAAGGTGTCTTGATAGGTTTTTCTTGAAGATCTTTTGATTTTCTTGTCAAATAATGTACTAAAATTGTGCAATGCACTTAAATTGAGTCATTTGAATTGAATTAAAACAAGTTGGCAGTATGTTTTACAGAGCTATTTAGTTTTGAAGTAATAAAATACATGTTACTGGTTTATAGCATTCATTTGTTTATTATTAGCATTATGATTTTATCAATTCTTATTCTTTCCWAAAGTTCACCAGTGATTTAATTTCATTATTTTAATTTTTAATTTATTATGAATTCCTTGTTGTAGTGTTGAAAAAAGAAAATTTTATTTAAAACTGTTGATAATTTTCCATAATTGTCAAACCAAGAAATCAAATTATTACTGTTAATTATCTTAAGGAAAACTGGAATGCACCAAATAAATAAAATAAAAGGTGCAATAAATAGTGGATAAGGGAGTGAGTGTCCAAAGATAATGGAACTCTGGGTACCTATTCACTAGGTATCTACTGTAGCTACTCCTGTAACAAGTGTATAGAAAGGGGGCAATGTTACATGGGTATTGATGGCCCTATTTTCAGATTTTACTTGTACAATATTACAATATGTTTAATATCGCACTAGTTGCTATGACTTAAGCTATTGTCATTACTATGGTAACCATAGATTGATTCGCAGAGACAAAAACAATTGGCAAGAAGTATTGTGATGCTTAAATATTTGTAAGCACCAAGTACAGGTAGCACTATTAAATTCTTAAAATTTCCTCTTGTTTTTATTCTTTCCTATCAATTGCTCATCTATTACATGTAATAATTAGATCTGTAAGTATATTGCCAATTCCAGAATTGATGATTGGTTAAAAATGACAAAATGAAGAGAAGACCAAATTAAAGAGGCCTCTGACTAGTTAAATAATCTTGTCAACTACAATGCACTGCGCAGCTACATTCTTGTTTACTTCGTTTGTCTTCTCAAAGCTCTTCCATGCACTGGTGGAGCAAAATTTCTGCAAACTTACTATGCCAATGTCTTCAAATTCTTCACTACATTTCACAGCAAGTAGGAGTTTTTAAGAGAGATTCTCTTTGAGGCATGACTTTTCGGTTGTCCAACTGTTAGACATCACAACTTTCAAAATCTAACTTGGATTCGTTGCCAAAACTCAAAAAATCTCATGGAAATCATAAAATGTCTACCCAGGTATCATTACTTTATGATTATCTTAAGTCTAGATCGATTGCACTGGATTTTCAAACTTCACTTACAAAAAGCCATTTTGCCTGGCAGAGAAAATAGCCGCTTGTTTTGATTCCAGCGCACAATGCATTGTAGTTGACTAGGAATCTTGAAATGAGACATAACTAAAAGACCATTCTCTTTAATGCTTAATCTTTTATATGTSAAGTCTTCACTTAGGTTCCCGGATGGGATTCTTCAACTTCACTTTAAAGTGTTTGTTGGTGGCACTCAAACTTTACCTTATTGATTTTACTTAAATATAAAATATATTTGCAGAAGGGGAGAAAACAGAGAATCCAGAGAAAACCCTCCAATCCAGAGAGCACCTGATGAACTCTAAATAATCTACAGCCACCCTTGATTTCTAAGCAGTATTAAAAGCTGGCATTTCTCACTTTCCCAAAGATGAAATTGCTTCTCATTTAAAAAAAGTCTGAAGTGCAAAGGAAAAGGTGCCTTGGACCAATGTAATTGTATCGTTTTTGCTCAATAATAGCCTCGTAGAATTTCCTTAATTTTCAAATAGTATACGCAAACATTTGTTCTACAAAGTCTAATAAATCCTTTTCAAAATTTGCAAATGTGAAATCAAGGACTTCACATTTCCTATGCTAGGAAAACCTAGAATTTAACCAATCAGCGTAAAATTGATTTTTGTGAAGTAAATGTATTATAAATCATGTTTATCTAAGTCCCACAGGAACAATAGCTATTTTAATTCAAATACCTACACGCTCTGAAAACTGGATCTAGCCACCTCAAACCTATACAAAAATAGTTGTTTATTTAAGAAACAACTTTCTTCAAATTCATATAATGTTCCTAAATTCCCTAAAGAAACAGATTTTCGGACATCAATTTGTGGCTTCAAAGATGATTAAAAAAGCCTATTTGGCGTGTTTACAGCTTTGTTGACATTCCCATATTGTTTTTCTTAAAGAAAGTTGAAAMTTTTAGTTGGGTAAAAGATAAATGCCTCTAATTATTCATCCAAATGGAAAGTGTCCAAAATTAATGGAATAAATAAATAATATTTTTCAAAAAAATAAAATGTCAAATGTTTTAGAGATTACAAGGTGTAGTTGGTATGAATATCTCATAAGTTACTGAACTAATTAGCCTACAGTAACTCAAGTATGTAGCTTCAAAACAAAAGTGCATAATTTTAATTGCTATGTAGCTAAAAAAAATTTCCTCTAATGCAGCTGCTCTCATTGCTTAATTTGTGGTCTATTTTGTACAACAAAACAATGACTAACAATGAATATGTTTCCACCAACATTTTCTGAGCCGACAACATTACATAATCTACATGTATGACGTTAGAGCAAAAAACTCACAATGGGGTTGGAACGTAGTATTTATTTTACCTGATGCTCTGGACTATTAAACATTTTTTGTAAACAATTTCCTTCCCAATAAATTAAGTTCTCTTGCTTCAAAAATTACCAAAACTAAATTAATGACAGATATTTCAAAAGTTTAATTGAAAGACTCAGTAAATCTTTTCTGAAAGTCTGGAAAATCAACAAGAAGTTTTATATGAGAAAAGCAGCCATCTTGAAACCAAACTCAAAATTCAAAATATGGTATCAAAACTCCTAATTTGCATACAGCAGCCATCTTGAAACCAAACTCAAAATTCAAAGTATGGTATCAAAACCCCTAATTTGCATATCTGAATATTCTGGAGCATGGTTATAGAATTACGTGTATTACATGTTTGGAGTCGCTTATATGTTTCTTGTCAGAGGGTGACAGTTCACTGTTATATTTGAATGTTTACCAGCGACCTTCAGCCACCTTTGATGCACGTGAACAGTATGGTGTATTGTTGACAGCTTCGCTAATAAAGTCCTCCAGAGCTTGAAATGAATGACTCTTATTTTGAATTCTAATGAAAAGAGCTTTTTTCTATGCATCCGGCTCGATTTACGAGTCTTCTGAAAAATCAAAATGTTGATGTCGTACATAAGCGTTTTTGTTTACTTCAATACATCAGAAAAAAAGGTTTGACTCATTGAAATTTTATTTCAGGCGTTAATTATATAATTTTACTTCAAATCGTATCTTTCCTTGATTCTTTTAATATGAATAATCCGAAGATAAAACTATGTGCAAGTGTGTGCATGCACACTGGGTCCCCACAGCGTCCACAAGTACTAGAAACTGATCCCACATGGAACATYAGCATTTCATTTTCTCATATAAATATCAAAGTAATCTATATTGYATAAGAGTTTTGTGCTTGTTAGTGTCACGTAATTGTTCGTAATCAGATGACGGAAGTCGATTGGTAAATGTTTAATTATCGATCTGCTAACATCTTAGTGAGTGAGTGAGTGACACATTGCATATTCAGACCCCTCACAATAACTCGTTTCTATGCTTCACGTATCCACAAGTTAAAAATGAAAGTTTGATGAAATGGCAGGTTCAATTCCCACTAAGGGCATATGATATTTTTCTCTTATTCTCTCTACTTCATTATACAAACTGAACACATAATTTATTACTACTATATTATTYTAAAAACTAATTGAAGTGCTTGTTGCTTATGTTAGAAAGTAAAAGTAAAACTATGTGTCTTTTGTGCTTATACAACAAATCACTTAATGAGTGATCCCTTGGGGAAATATTAAGTTTTGTTTCCTGAGAAACACAATGTTTCCTTAAGTAAGGCCAAGAAACATTTAGATTCAAGGGAAACAAAATTAACTGTTTTCCTCTGACCATGCAGTCAATATTGTTTAACAATTGTTCATCAAAGGCGAAGTGATTATCAAGAGCCACCATTCTTCAAGCAGCGAGGTAAATATTCATCATTGATAATATAATTTGAATACTCAAAGACTTGAATACCAAAGAAAATTTGAAATTCAGGATAAAAAACATTTTAATATTACTTCAGATCTGGCAGACTGGAAAAACTCATAATCACAGCTGCAACAGTGATTAATGTCTCAGAATCACTGTTCGTTCAGCCAATCACGGCATGAGAAAATCTACCTTCAAGCCTAAAATTATATTGAAAAGTGTTAACTGTGGAATCATTGAACTACATGTACATGTACAAATAACAGACACTACATTAAAGACATTCAAAAGGTTATCACAACTTAGTATTACTCTCCTGCTCAAGATTTCCTTCATTAAAAAAAAAAACTTCAATGTTGTCACTTTAAGTGGGGCTCTCTTAATGGTCGATTACAATGTACACTGTACACTGTAGTCTATTACAATAAAGCTTTTGAAATACTAAACTCATGAGAAAATACAATGCTACTTGAGCACCAAGTTTGATCTTTTGAATTCCTTACACATACTAAAAGTTATATATATTAGTGTAATGCTTAAACCAAATTATTTTTTGATAATTGTTGAAGCTGATGCTATACATTTAACCCTTCTAAATAGATGGAAAAGCAGTTTGATGTGTAAAATATGCTTTGTCTTTACCTTTTTGTATTACTGCTTCTCACACTGTTTATAAGAGCAAATTTCAGAGGACTGTGAAAGACTCACATTGTTAATCAGGAAGATAATTTAATTTAAAAAACAAGTGTTGTGGAGTGTCTAATCTGTTTAAAGCACCTCAAGGTTACCATAAGTGTGATCTAGCACACCATACTTTTTCTTTTCACAGTCATATGAAATCTACTCAATASCTCTATGTACCTTATACCAGCAAACAATAATATAATTTAAGTAAATTTAATTACTCACTCAGTTTCCTGAATTTTTTGAATCGGCAATGAGGGAGTTATGGTAGTCTTGTTTCATGCATGCTAGCTGTGTAGAGCCACTTTATCTCATCACTCTCAGCGGAGCAGAAGGCTGTCAGTTATTGCAAAGTTCTGTAAAGTTACGAACATTTAAATATTTACTAGGGTATTCAACGAAACCCTATAAAACTATAAATCGTTATAAAGGTCAGATAATAAAGATTATGGAAAATATTATTTGAAAGCGATCTTTTAATTTGAAACAATGCTGGTGCCTTAAACATGAATCAGTTACTTTCTATAAATGTGAATTAATGAACATGATGTTAGCGTGTATAGCCAAAATAAATTCACCATGTACTGTAAATAAGCAATAGATAATCTACAAAAGGATGCGAGTGATTTTTGGTATTATGCTTCTTTGAGAATTTATTGAGTTTTAAAGTTGCAACGTCAACAAAATTCAATGTTGGTTGAAGAGGAAATACTCTAATGTCAAGAATCGCTCATACTGTACCCTTTTGTTTATCCATACCCATCCTTGACTTTTGCCAAATTTCATTGAAATAGAACAAAACTACATACCCTATTAATTCATTTAAAGATAGGGAAAAGGCGTAAAGAGATTTCAAGCTTTTGAGTTTTGGGAGGGTTTCACACATCCTGTGGAAAGGTTACCCAAGAAGGTGTCCAGTAACCTTAAAATATCTACAGTACTCAATCCATAATAAAATGTACCTTACACAAGCAAACAATATCTTTGGATATAATTTCTTAAGGTGACTGCCTACTTTTGAAGGCTGTGCATGCCCTCAAAAACCGCCGAATAATCTACAAGATTTTATTGAAGAACCATACACAATTTGACCTTCACAAAGGAAAAATCCTCAAATTTTGCACGGTACTCTGCTTTTTATAAGCTTATGCAAGAAAACTTCTAAGAATCTACATTATATCAAATGTTTTTAAAATATTAATTATTCTAACACATGAAAATATAGATTTTTGTAGGAATTTTTGTTTGACTTAAAGGATATTTTTTTGCGAGCTATTATCTCTCGAGTTTTAATTTTATCCTGATTATTTTCAGGGGCAACATATTTTCTTCAAAACCTCATGCATAGGCATTTATTAAATGCGCATTATCTCAAAAACAAGCTTGGGACACCCCATTATTCTTTTCATATTTGGAATCAGCATTAAATTTCACTCCAGAAAATTGTAGCTTAAAAAAAGTTTTTTTTTCCAAAAGTAGCCAGTCACATGAATTTATTTAAATTACTTACTGAATTTTTCCAATAAGCAATGAGGGAATTAGTAGTCCTCTGTCATGTTAGTGTAGAATGACTCTTATAAATCCCAGCTGAAGACAAGTCTGACAGTCACTTTATAGTACTGTAAAAGGCAATAAACATTAAAATGTTAATAGGGGACTTCAKTTAACTATGTACTCTATGGAATAGTAAGGTCTTTTTGATTACTTATGGGCAATGTGCCCACAAAGCCCACAAAGCTCTCTGGGAAACTGAGAAATAAAATATGAGAATATGTTGAAATGCTTATGTTCCATAGAAAACTTTACTTTTCTTGTCTAAATACTTTTAAATAAAAAAGTTAAAATACTTATATTTCCTTATAAAATAACTGTTTAGATCTTGCATCATGACTGGTTGGGATAGGGTGCTTTATTTAACAATTATTCGCCGAAGGCCTAGGAATAACGAGGAACATTTACTGAGACGTGAGTCAGCTTCGAGCGGCAAGGTAAATATTCCCCAATGATCACTGAGCCTGAGGCAAATAATTGTTTTATTACAAATACACAGGCGATTCTTTCAAAAAGAAAAGAAGAAAAAAAAGAAGATAAAAGGCAATTTTTTTCGGTAACAGCAACAAAGTGGCGGGCTGCCACTTTGGATTTTTACTCGAGCTAGGTGATTATCATGTGATAGTGTGAGTTTCTTGACCAATCAGTGTGCCAGATTTTCTATAACCACCTGCTTATTTTTACTAAGATAGCATACAGAATATGCACACACTTTCAGTTGCGTTATTTCTTCAATAAAAAATGTTGAAGGAAAATTTCTTATTCCTGTCTGTTGATGCTTTGTGCTAGATATTTGTGCTCATGTACGAACACTGGCCATTAAAAAAAGCTTTCAAGTTCATTAGGAAAAAGGAATTTGATTTGAGTGAGAAAATTATGCACTTATCATTTGCTTCCCCTTGGGTCGACCCCCGGGGCACCCACGGGAACCCAGGGGGAAAGGAAGGGTTTTTTCCCCAGGCAGAGGAGGGGCGTTGTTTAGCTTTGGTAATGGATTTGCTGGACCACAGGGACATACCCACAGGATTTGTTCTACATTTGGTCAGCAAATTTTCACAATAGACTATGGCTTTTTCATGCCATCTTGCATCTTTTCCTGAGCTAGTAGAGCAGTAAAATAAAAACAGATTCGTCTTTTGTTCTTTTCTTCTCAAATGATGCCATTATTTAAAGTGTGGGATTTATCAAGACTTAAAAGAAAGTCTTTAATGACAGACGATTTTGGTGAATTGTTATCACAGTTAGCTTGGTCATTAAGCACAATTTGCAACAAACCTGTGGCAAACCAGTCTTAATTTCAATATAAATTCATTTTAATATGCAGTCAATCTTGATATGAATTCGCTTGAAATCATTAGCTAAAAAGAAACTTGGAACTTAGAATAAAAATATGTGACCATGTGTGATTTGAAATATTCCATAACTTAAATCTCTGTATTCCTTTCCTTAGCTTCTAAACAGATCAATAGTTGCCAACTCTATCTAACAGATCAGGTTATTGCTGTTGTTTTGTTACCAAATCAAACATAAACTCCTTTATATTTGCTGTTCATCAAAGATGTTCAATGATTTATTATTCACAGAAATTCAGGTTTACTGCGATTTCCGAATTTTAAACGTTTAACTGCAAACTATTAGTATCGACTTATCCTGTCTTAAAGAAACTCAAATCATAGCCATAGCGATAGCTAATTGCAATCAAGTGGTAAGATTCGGAGCCAGAATCCTGTGACATTTTTGAGAAAATATATCCAGAGTGAAAAAATTTACAGCAACAAGAAGCATGAGATAAGTGCAGCGCTTTTTGCACATTTGCACATGTTTACGTGAGTATTTACATCAGTCCTTGTGTAGAAACCAATAGAAATGATAGAAAACCTTTTTATTGACTTCCACCCAAATTCAATTATTGATGAAGGTCTAGTTGGTTGCGTGTAACTGGGAATCGTAGCAACGGAATTTTTACCATTCACATGCCAGTTAATAATTATATTTAAATMAAATAAATATGAAAATATAAATATGGTTTTGGGTGCACATTTCCCCCAGGGAAAAGCTATTTGTAATTAATTTATGCCCTTTAACTGGGGGCTGTGAATGGTTTTTGTTTGTCACGAAAAACAATTCCCCTGGGGTCGACCCAAGGGGAAGCAAATGATAAGTGCATTACCATCCTTTAAGGTAAGTATGGTTCACTTTGAAAGTGTCATTTGACCAGGATAATTAGTTTTAATGCCAATATCAAGATGTGGAACAGACACCTCATTATTTATCAGAGAAAATTGGACAAAATTTTTTTTWAAACTTATCTCATATAGTCAACTCATTAATCATTCCAAGATGTACTGTACCCCCACTTTGCAATGTCACAAACATTTCAAGGCCCTGGATTTAAAGAATTCAAAGGCAAGTCATACTACATTGTACCTCGGTCATAAAATTAACAGCTTTAAGTGCTTTAATTATTTTAGCCTATAATGTATAATGAAAGTTAAACAAAAAACTATCTACTGTAACATTTATTTATTGTACTTACGTTAAAGTTCCATTTAATTTAAACTGTATGTTACTGTGCATAGTACTGGGAACCATTCATCACATCATTCATCAAAGGTACACATCAGAAGCTGTAGTGCTGCGCAGACCGTTAGGTTGAATCTCTGAAGAAAAATAAATTTTTTAATAAAGATATTATAACAATAAATAAGTATTTTACTCAAGGAACCCACTTTTTGTTTCTCTTTTTATCTTATTACGCGACTATATTATGTGCATATTCAAATTTAGGCCGTAGTAAACTTTTGTTGTTGTTTCTGTTGTTGTTGTCGAGGGAAAAGTGGTACGAACTATTATATCCGTAGCTCCAAAAACGGAGCTAAATGTAAAATAAACTTTAAAAATAGAATTTCGAATGAAATATAAGCTGAAGCATTGAAAGTAGAAAGTATTTTTAAGACCTTAGCTCAATATATCGGAAAAATTATTTGGGGCACTTTTTCTCCTGTTGGTATGCACGCACTTCAACACGTGCTTCAGAAAATACGTTTTTTTTCCTTCCAAAAAATCTTAAACACTTTAAATAAACAACAAGAGGAGAAAATAACATATATTGTAAAAGCCATAAGAGTTATGAAATATTCTTAGCCATTTCTTACCGTRCAAATATCGATATCCGTTTTCTATACATTTTCACACTTCCTATCCGCCATGTTGTTCTTGTCCAAATATGACCGCAAAGCAGGAAGGGTATAAACGTGTTTTTCATCAAAATCACGTGGCCCTAAATTAACTGGGTTTCCTGTGCCATGATACATACGCCGCCAGCTTTCTCATTTTTGTCGACATGGCATTCACTTCTTGTGCAAACCAACTCACGCTAAATAGTGACCGCTATTACAATACAGTGAAACCTCTATAATACGGAAAAGAAATTAAGGACCAGTAAAAAGTGTGCGAGGTTTAGCCAGGACACAGGCCAGCCCAAACAATGCAACTGTGCTGTCTTTTATTACTGAAAAAATCGTAAAATTTGAAAATTAAAAAATTGAATTTACTTTGATTTCAGGTTGTCAATAATGCTTTTAGCTGTCTTTAGCCATTTTTTCTCATTTTCGCGAAAAAACGGCTAAAGAAAGCTAACGCACGAGTACTGATAATCTAGAAGAATTATGTGTCAATAGTTATTCCTGATTGGGAACACTGGACTGTGCAATAATTATCAGGAGGGAGGGGCTGAAAAATGAGATATATCAAGCAAAAGATTAGGCAGTACCCCCCTTAAAAACCAAAATTTTTAGTTCATACCCCCACCCTCTTTTATGTTTGAAAAATAACGTTGAACTAACGTTCTTCCGTCAACACAACAACAACAACAAAAAAACAATAAAAAGACATCTAGTTCTTCGATTCCCATTGTTTTACGGGGGAAGCTGAAAAACAAGTTTGTGATTTTTGCTCATAAGATCAGTTAAATTAGCTAGTTTTATTAAAAAAAGAAAAGAAGAGAAGAGAAGGGAAGAGAAGAGAAGATCAAATGAGGGTAAACGAAAGTATCAAAATGTTTTATGACTCCACGAGCATGAACTCCGTTAGTAATATACAACTACTTGCAAGAAGGTTGTCATACCAGAATAGAACATTTGTAATTTAGTAAATAAGTGATTTAGTAAATTCACCGATTACGAATAAATTATCACTGACGTCAGACTCGGTAAGAAAAAAATAATTTTGGACGATATGAAGTTACCGGCATGCAGATGAAGAGGTAATTTCAATGTTAAAACGAAAACGAATAAATAACAAAATAAGATCACGATTTGTTTTTGTACGTTTCTGCTCGTGCAACATTGTGGCGGTCATGCAGTAAATAAATAGGTTGACATATAGCCTCTCTCCTCCTCCCCAGTCCCCTCTTCCTCCCAAAATTTTCTACCAGAGGGCCGCTACGCAGGCTAGTTGACATAATAACAATACTAAAAGAATCTCCCTTTAGACTTGGAAAACTAGCGTACCTAAAACTACGAAGTCTAGCGATGCCTGGCGTTAGTAGTCTGACGTCAGTGATAATTTATTCCTAATCGGTGAATTTACTAAATCACTAAATTACTAAATTACAAATATTCTATTCTTGTATGACAACCTTCTTGCAAGTAGGTATACATCATATATAAATATCCATGTCAAATCGTAGTTAATGAATGAATATTTAATTTATTCTGAACTTTTCTGGAATTATTTATACACCGATGCATTTATTTCACATTGTGATTTTTACTTATCGGCTTTTTTATTATGACAGATTCTACATAGTTACATCCTACATAAATTGTTTTGGAGAGCGTGTTTTATTTAGCATACAGTAATAACCGTGTCATCATTTTTTCATTAACAGTATTACTTTGTGCACACTGCGCATGTCAATTCTAAGCCTTGCTTATAAGGATTGCAAGGCAGAGAACCACAAACCCCTTGAACTGGATACAAAAGAGCGCCATTATAATTCTTATGCGAACCAACGACAGTTTCTGCATCCCTGTCGACGCAGATAAAATCTCTTGGGTGGGGATGAGAGTAATGCTCCGTCATGAGGTAGCCCCAGTACTCCGTCTTCCATCCCGCGGGACACACGTTTGTCCCAGGGATCATCAATTTGGCAGTGCGGGAAGGTGCATAACATACAGCACATGGAGCTTCGTGATCATGAAGTGTTTTTGTGAATAACTGCGCGTTATCGTTGACTTCGTATTCGGTACCATACATTCTTCCACCATTTTGGAAACCAGGTTTGGCATTCACATATTTGGGATTATCTGTGAGGCACATGTAGTTTGTACCACCACCAGGATGCGTGTAGTGCTCTCCACCAATGATACCTTAGTGAAGAAATATAATTATTAAATTCAAATAACATTTCAATATTTCAATTTATCTTGACAATAGAAAGGAACCCCAAAACGAAGGAATCCGTGAACAAAACATAACACAAGACGCTGACGCACATTACATGTGCAAAACAAAAACAAAACAAAAAGCGAAGACAAAAACAAAAAAAAAAAAAAAAACAACACAAAAAGTACCCACGTAAGACAAGACAGTGTAGTTAACAAAGCATAACTCCAGCGCAAGTTGAAAAATCTCACTCTTTACCTTTGTAAACGAGAGAAGAAATACGAGGGCAAGAAGTCTTTCCCCATCTAACGTACTGCACCCCGCCACCTGGAGGTCCTCGAGGACCTCTTGCTCCATTGATTCCTCGAACCCCTCGAAATCCTCTTGGTCCTACAAACGAAAAATGTTTAAGCACAATGTAGGATCTACTTTAATTATAAGGAAAGTAGAAGGACAGGGCAAGATTGTATAGGAATTCAGCCCTTTTCTTTGACTTACAGTTTGGGGTATTAAAAAACCATGAACCATGTATTAGAAATTGAAATTCTATACATTTGTGTTAGCTAGTTACGATGATTTTTATACCTTTATATAGAATAATGAAGTAATAGTTAAGACTCAACTGAGATGAAACGTTTCGCTATATTAAGCAAGTTTTTAAAATTATAGTATCATCGGCAGTCAATCGTTGCTGCATGCTATTATTAAATATGCCGGATGCTTTGTGGCTGGTCAGGCTTTTATTTCTCACCCCTTGGTCCTTGTTCACCATCTCTTCCATTGTGACCGTCCTTTCCTGAGTGAAGAAGAAGAAGAAAAAGCAACTTTAATTAAAGTTTGAACATTTTACAAGCACGTCTGGCCATATTTGTAGTCCATATTTTAAGTACGTTGAAGCAAAGCAAGATAAATGGTGTCCATTTAGCGCAAAACCTTTTTCGACAAAATGCAATCAGCTTCATTTATAGCCCAATGATCTAGCCTAATGTATTACGTGCAGTCATGCCTTTTTTTGGTTATGCATGGTAGATATCATAGATTGATAAAAATCAATCAACTACGACTGTCATATATCAAGTTATTCTATTTAAACCATTTCACTAATTGTGTTAAGATTTGCTTGTGCTTAAAATTTATTCGCTGACGGTTTCGTACGTTTTTTAAATTTATTTTTACACTGCTGCACGCTGGTGTAGTCAGTGTATCTATATCTATGCAAATTTTTGTTCCCAAAACGCTAAAGGAGTGCAAGAAAGATAGTTTTCTATCTCTACTACAGAATATTTTGATTAACAGATATTAAATATTTTTATATACCTGGCTTCCCTGGCATACCATCACGACCATCTCTTCCTAAAAATAAACAAACRAGATATTTAGCTTTCTGAAAGAATCATTCCCTTTAAAAAATAATTAAGATGAAACGATAAGGAATGTACCTCTGAGTTGCTGCACACCGAGGGCTTCAAGACGTCGAAGTCTGTAAAAAAAATGATGATATATTTCACTGATTGAAAATATACACGAGATATATATGCAAAAAATATTAATCAATTTGAGCTCGAAGTCAAAGACTAACTATTTAACTAGTACTTGGTTTGCCTACCTTGCTTCCATTCTTGCAAGGATTGCTAGGATTTTAAAACTAGGAGCTGGTTTAGCGGTAGGAAGATTCTCTTCTCTTAACTCTGCCGGAAGACTCTCTATCTTCTCATCTTTCTCTTCCTCAGTGGCCACATTGAMAACTAAAGGAATTAAAGCGAAAAGCAGAAAGCTTTTACGAAAAATCATTTTCTGGTGATTCTAACTGAGATCCGAAAATGAGATCAGAACTCCTAGCTCTGAGCAAGCCAGCCAAAGGAATGAGGCCTGTAAAGAAAAAGAACTTTTTAAAGATAATTTTAAAGGTGTTGGCTTGCATCACACTACTTATTTCTAATTGGTTATCTGTACATTACCCTCTTACCCAATTGCCTATATATGGATATGGACCTCTTTTGATTGGTCGGTACGAGATTGATTAATATCATTATTATCAGTATTAATATCAGTATTAATATCATATTAATATCAGTATTAATATCATATTAATATCAGTATTAATATCATGGGAAGCAAAGCGTAGCTGAACATTCGTTTATGAGTAAATTTGAAATGAACAAATATTTACCGGCTTTGATTCTGTCCTGGAGCAAAAAAGGAGCGCTGGTCAATTGAGGATGACAGTATTAGACAGAGGCTGCGGAACATTTGGAAAGATGGGGGGGGTGGGGGGGGGGGGGTTGGAGGTTAAAAGTGTATTCAGTACAGTGTATAAGTACTACAAATGTCAGTCAAAAGACCCAAAATAAGACCCTTCTTGAGTCATTCACTTCGATGAACTCCATATGCTATGTTTTTCTTCATTACATTGTCCATGCATGTCTAATAACTTTTACTTTTGTTAAAAATATTTTAAGTTAAATTTAAACGCCAACATTTTGTGGTAATAGGACGACAATCCCACCCGACCCGATTCCGCCGCCTATGTTAGACTTGTATATGTATAGAAATGTATATATAAAGAGGGAAAAATTTCGATTTAAATTTTTCTTTGATTGCCATTAATATCATGTGATGATGAAAACGTAAATTATACACCGTGAAAAAGATGAAAAACCTTACTGACGTTTCGGACGATAGTCCTTCGTCGGTGTAAAAGAGCATAAATATCATGTTGTTATTCTACATGCATCAAGTACCGGTCATTAACTCGACACAAGCCATCAGTTTTCTAAAAAGTCCTTTCATAACTCGAGAAGGTTAAGTAATTTGTAACCTCTGGTATTATTATTTTTTGATATAAATAAAACTACTAACGAGAAAAAAGAGTTCTATTGAAATATTTGCAGCAGTATACATAAAATATGAGAGAGAGAGTTCTGTTCTCCTCATTTAACTAAACCTTGCGGTCCTTTTATACAGTTCAAAAATTCATTAGTCAAATTTGTAGATCAATATAATTTGACATTTTCATCCAAGCATAGAATAAATTGTATTTGTATAAATAAGATTTTAAACAAGTTGAAAACATTTGTATCTTGCAGTATAAATCGTAAACTATGAGAGCGTTTCCTTAACACATTCGTAAATTTCTAGCATGAAACTTGATGACTTGTCACGGCARGAGGGATCGAAATAAGAAGTAAAAAATATATAACATCGAAGATACACCATCAGTAGCGGACTAAGAATTCGAAGGATTTCAAGGGGGTGACTTTTACCTAGGAAGGCCGCTATTTTCCAACTCAAAATGGGGTTGGCTAGTCACCGACTTCATCATTTATATCCCCATCTCCCCTCCCCCCTACCCCCTTCCTCCCCTGTTTTCCCCCTCGACCATGAAAAAAATAAGTTTATACTCTACTGTAACCCTTACACCTAATCGAAAAAACATAGTCTGGTTGAGATTTTTTCAAACATCGAATTCAAGACAGATGGGTGGATTCTGGATTAACAATAATGAGGCTGATGTTAATTTATATATTGCAGTTTTGCAGCAGCTCTCGAACAGCGATTCAAATTACATCCAGACAAGCACTTTATTCATTCTTCATGCTTGTATCTTCGTCTTAGCTTCGATTATTTAACATTTCTAATTAAACCATGTTCACTTAACCTCAATACCAGTATTGATATAACTGATTAGTCACCTTCACCTTCAGCCAATCACAGAAACATGTATTTTCATCAAAAATATTTTCAAAGAGTCAAAGACTCCAAAATTTGCATGATTCCTGCAAAATTTTTAACTCTGACCATCATAGCTGTGCTTTCTTGGCCTTATTTACTAGTCTAGGATATCAAACATCTAAACCAACCCTAATCCTTCAAGACCTACAAGTTGTTTGCAAAGTTTGTATCTGACGTAGCAATCAAATATCAAGCATGCACTGGTCAGGTGACCAAAAACAATCTTCTAACTTTCCTAATATTTTCATTATCTCATATTTTTTGTTCAATCCTAGATATCTTTTATTTAAGTTGTTCTAATTTTTTTAATGTGGATACATATTAGATTTATATTCTAATAACCTTATCAATTGTGACTATTTCCATTCCTTTTTTTACTATAAACGCCTTAGCATTGTGTTATACAGTCCTTTGACAAAACGTTTTCGTTGATCGGATCATCCCTACGCGCCTAGACCGAAAATGATAACGGGTAAATTAACACAAATAATTAATTGTTCTCCATCAGTCGGTGACAATCGCACAATGGAGAGCAATATGCACATTTGTCTTCGCGTTTTACGCGAGGAAAACAAGAGCCGTTTCACATCATATTCCATCAAGGATGTCCTAAAAGATTATCTACTCGAGCGCTGTTCAGACGAGAGATCGCCGGCTACAGATAGTAGCTTCGAAATAGGTTACTTTGGCGATAAGAGCCAAACATTTAGTATTTCCAGTCCAGTACAACTTGCCCAAGACGTGTTAGATAACATATGCGGCAGCTAGTAAGTGTGAATTAATTTTCCCCATGATCCTTTTCGGCCTAGGCGCGTAGGAATGAAGCCGATCAAATGACAACGTTTAGTCAAAGGATTGTAAATATGCACTGTCAGAAATATATGGCTGGCATATCCAGATACTTGAGCGGATCAAGAATGTATAAATAAATTCGAATATTGCTGAAACCACTTCAAACATTAAAGTAGTTTTGAAACTGGACCGCGGCATTGAGCAGTTGAGCTTGTCTCGATATTACAGCCTGGTTTTATATTTCTTATCAGGCTCTTATTATCATCACATCTCTAATATCACCAAAATAGCAACATTTCCTAACCTTTGAAAGCATTTTTTGCATTTATCCCTTCAAAGTAAACTCAAATGATACATTCCGCTAAGACGATCACATTTCGAGGTTGGTTACCTAATTTATCAGTAATTATTTTTGTAAATAAGAATCATAAAAACCCACCGCAATCGCGTGACTCTGAATAGAACAAAGACAACTGCTATGAAACTTTATTATTAGAAACACTAAGTAATAAGTCAGTAAGTTATTCAATCTTAGAAGAGAGTTTATTAGTGTACTGCTAAAAGATGCGCAGCAATTATTTGGCAAGAAAACAGAAAACAGGAAACAGGAACACGAATCTACACGAATGAACCTCGATGGTTTGGAGAAAAGGTAGCGGATGGTTATATTTAATCTTTACTGAAGCCAAAGAAAAGATTACTGACAGGTAACGCTTTAAGTTCTTGTTGTGAATAAGAGTGTTTTCCGTTGAAGTATACCCATCTTCCTCGAATTTGAAGATTAGAAAGAAGTGGTTTAATTATGACTCCTTTACTATGAGTTGCTGTGCATTCAGACAAGGCATTTGCACCAAGAATTTGCGTTCTCTGCGCTCCCCTGTTCCACTTTTCCTACTTTGCTCATCTGACATCGATACCCGTTTCCGAAGCCTCAGCTCTCTCCTATTACTGATCCCATGCACCCATAGTCTTTATCTTGATAATATAGCGGTGGCATAGCCAAAAAACAGTCCAAATTAATCAGAACTAATATAATACAATTACTCAAGCGAAAGGATAAATAATTTGTATGGATAGCAAATCTAATAGGAAGAGAAAAGCAGGAAAACCATTACAGTTAAACTATGAAGTATTTGGACGTTAAAGTGAAAATGACGTCAGAGTTGACAGCGCTGCTATCTTGAGTATTATTAGAGATTACTTCACATCTTGGACATGCGAATTGCTTAAAAAGTATGAGATAAAAAAGAAGAGGAAAAATGGAAAAGAAAAAAGAGAAACAAGACAGAAATATTTATTATTGCATTACAGTGTATTGTGGGATAGGACACAGGTAACCCATGTCTGTAAATCAGTCAAGTGAAAACGAAACAGTAACTGCTTATTGCTCGATCCACGATGATATGGCCGGGTGTTATAGCTTCAAGGTTACTCCTTAATCTTAGATTTGGATTTCTAATAAGTAACGGCTTCAACTCTAGTGCCACAAATAAGGTAAACTTCCAGTAATTAATGAAGTAGGCATAATTTTTAAACTGCAGATCTAAAACTAAAACTGCAGCTATCTTTCCTGTTTTGGATGACATAATGGACATTTTAAAGGCCCATTTTAAACATGTTATGCTATGTAATCTAACCCTCTTATTGACAGTTGTTTATACGAGCATATTTTATAATAATCAAACTCACTTTCCCTACGTTGTCGGGATGATCTTGTCGCCATCTTGGATTTTAGCAACAGTGTTGTCTGATCATCATTCGCTAGTTTGTTCCCTAGGACCAACGTGGCCTCTGTGTCTATAACTTTCTATTCTAGTGGAAATTATTGCAAGTATTTATAATTCTGGTTAGGTTGCAGAGGGTAAAGTATCTTTAGTGCTCTCATATTAAGCCTATCTCCATGGAAATTGTGCCAAGTACGAATGCTGTACTTGATTTTATAGTAGTCTGGGGACTAGAACAGATTTCGTATCAAGTGAAGAATTGTTTTCTCTTTCTCAATCATCTGATCCAAACACATTGCATCATAATTTTCTACAAATGTTTTCTTTACGGGTAGCATGTATGGGATATGCTGCTAATTAAAGCGTCCTCTTTCACCACAGTGGTTTTTAAGGTTCTAGCCCTGCAGACATCATATGTTCATTGAGTTTGTTTGATGTGTTGTTCTCTTGTATGCTATGAGGGTTTTTCTCCCTTCATGAAAAAGTAAATTGGAGTTGCATGTGTGATTGAAAAGTGTTCCAGTTAGTGCAAAAGTGCTAGAACAACTAAACTTTTAACATTAGTTCATCCAATCAGAGTGCTCAGACTTTTTACAACCTCTTGCATGACAGACTCTCATTCAACTCACTGAGCTTGTACTGGGTAGGCAGTTAAAGAGATGGGACCACCATTTTAATTATGTGGTCATCTGAGCAACATTGAAGGTTTAACCAGATTTGTTCCCTCACATTCATTAGAAATTATAAACATTGTCATTTAATATCCACATCAATCACTGAGCTAACTGCAATCCTACTGCTAAAGAAGTGCCTCCAGGCTGCATCAAACCATACCCAGAATCATAGCCTAGGCATAGTTTTTATTGGAGGGCTAAAATGAAAATTAGGTTGTTTAGCAAATTGATTTGATTGTTATATGCTGGTATAGCAAATAACAGCAACTTCTGCTAAATTTTCATTATTTTTGAATATCAGAATTTAGTTTTAAAGTTAGTAATTTAGGATTATTAAACGTTGAATTTGAAATAACATTTCTCAAAAAGTGGGGATGGGGGTCTAAAGTCCCTCTAGCACCTATGTCCGAGCTTCAATGAAACTGCTATCTAGATGCAGTTGTTTGTAGTTACGTCAAATAATTTATCTTTTAGGCAAGAGTGGTGGCAGCAGTGTTTGTATCAGCAGCTCAAGCAGCAACAAGGAAACACAAGAGTCCAAGAACAATAGAGGGTGTGTAAATATATTTATCTATATATATTTTTCCATAATACTGCATGCCTTATATAATACTAAATATAAAATTAAATTGGTGAACTTTCAACCGAAACCCTGTTTTATTTTTAAGGCAAAGTGTATGATTTTGCACGACTGTGGGTTGGAAGCATTCACAAATATAAAAACTATGTTTTCTTTTCTTAGTTGTGTSTAATGACTTGACAAAGGAAAAGGTTGATGCTATTGTCAATGCAGCAAACTCCTGGCTCAAGCATGGAGGAGGGGTATGGAAATCTTTCTGTTTAATGCTTTAATACATCTACAAACATTCATGAATAATTAATGAGCATTTAGACCTATCAGGTCCTTGCAATCCATCATGTGCATGGATCTTTACACCTGATAATAGTTCAACATGGATATCTTTATATAAAGACTTTGAAATCTTTATAAAGGACCAAAAGAACACAAGAGCATGTCACGCATAAGGACCCTAAATGCTCATTCTATTATTCATTAATTTTTTTAGTCATTTAATATACTCGCAGATCATGTTTTATCAGGTCTAAAACCAAAAAAAAAACATGTAGAAGAATAGAAAATGCTTAAAAAATAAGATTATAAAAATTAAGACTAGTGAAAAAGCAAGACCAAAAAAAACAAACAGAAAAAAAAATCAATAATGAGTGAATGGATTGATAGATAAATATATGGATGGATGGATCAATGAAGTAATCAATGAATGAAGCTTGGAAAATAATTATATTGAAACTAAGAGCTATATATAATGGTAATAAGTGATAAGTGCTGTTTAATGAATGAGCAGGAGTGTTTTATCGTGTATAAAACACGAGGAGCAGCCGAATGGTTTTATACCCGATAAAACACGATCTGCGAGATTATTAAATGGCTTAAAAAACTCATGATGTATGTTCTCATACTGTACAGAATTCTTTACRAAATGAACCAAGTTTGATAGAGAAAATTCCAAGTTAAAGTTTATCCAAATGAAGACGAATCTATATCAGATATAAAACCTCCTTCACGGTCATGATTTCTGTTGTGTTTCCTTCATGAATTATTAATGAGGTTTTTAAGAAACAGAATAATAATGACAAAAAAAAGCCTGCCTATGAAAAGCTAAAAGATGAAAACAAGGATTTTTTAACATACCTCTTAAAACAGGATATTACCTTGATTAACATATATGTTACTTAAAACTTATGAAAGAAGACAAGATCGTATGTGGCTGCGTGATGTTGCCTGCATATGCTTTACCCATTGTACCCTTGCCAGCCATAGAGTCTCCAGTAGCTCAGTGGTTAGTGAGGGCAGATCCAGCCAAAACTTTAGGGGGGGCTAATTGAGTTGGGGGGAGGGGGGCTAATTAAGTTTCTTCCGTCAACACA